GGGTGCTTGAGCTTCTTTTGAGCTTGCCTGAGGTCCAATGAAGCTTTCCCAATGCTTACTTTGTTTTGAAGTGGCTTGAATCGTGCTACAGAACTCAGCCTGCAAAGCTTTGAAACAAAAATGGCAATGTGTGTTAATGGTGTTACAGCTAGCAATGGATGTCTGGAATAGTTCAGGTGTGTTGGTTGGAAGGTGTTTGAAGTATCTTTGGGAAAAACGCACGATGGAATTTGATGATGGCTTGCAAAATGCAGAACTGACCCTATTTTGCAAGAAAATGGGGATTTGGTGCACAAGGAGTTTTGACAGGGCAAGGGCTCGTGTTTTTGGCTTGCTAGGGTGTATGAAACTTGTTTGACAACTTTGTTTTAGTTGGTTTTATCAGATGTGAGAGATGCCTTGTGTTTTGCAAGTTTTCTTCCTCTTGAAGCAAAAGAATGGAAGTGAGGTTATAGACTTGTACAGGCCATCCTGTCACCCTGCACACAACCCTCTTGGCCCCTCTAATTAATGGATTTTGTTTTCAGCATAAGATCTGGTTCAATGCTCTAGGATGTTGTTTTGACATAAAGCAAAGTTCAAGCAAAAATGGCATTGTTACTTTTTCCATTTAAGGCTTAATCTAGTGTACAATACCCTAATGACCAAGAAAATACCTTGGCTCAATGGATATGCATTAAATTATGGAGTACAAACTGGTTTAGAGGCCTGTAATTGTGAACCAAGTTAGCTAGATCATATTTGGCAAGTGGTATGAACATGTATTGGCCATGGATCAAAGTGAGTTTTTGCCAACTTCAAGCATTCGATTCTCCCTAACCACAAAGGTGTTTGAGGAGTTCTTGGATAATTTGTAAAGCTTGCAACATGTACTATAATCCATATTTGAAATGAAACTTGAAACTCCAAGTGGAACTATGTGAAAAATTGCCAAGAATATGGGTCAAAATCCTGCCTAAACTAGGGCAAAATTTCTGTAAGTTAAAAGTTTTAGGTACCCTTGTTCCAAAAATCATAACTTGAGATACAAGCTTCTTTTTAGAAAACTTTGTGAATCAAAGTTGTAGACCTTGTTATGGACTACAACTTTCATGTTAAAAGTTTTGTTTGAATCCATTTTCATCTTGGTGAAAAAATGGGACAAAGTTAGGAAAAAATAAGAAAATTTTATAACTTAGAAAAATTCTAAGTTATGAAAATTTTCCATTTTAAACCCTAATTTGCATTTTTGGGTTTCTTGATGAACAAGTTTCATAATTTTACATGTCTTGATGAAAAATGACCCTTGGAACTTGATTTTGACCAAAAAGTCAAAGTTTGACTTTTCAGTATACAGTCAAATTTTGATCAGTTGACTGAAAAATTCATCTGTCAATCCTAGGCATTTGAGATCTTTTGAACTTGTTGAATGGGTCAAGACAATGTCATTGAGTCCTTGAGTCCATGGTTGAGCTTGATTTGTCATTGGCTAGGTCAAACAGTCAAAAATTGCCTTTGTATAGTCAAAACCCTAAAAATGACCATTTTGCCCTTTTGGTGATCTGATCAAGTTTCTTGTGGAATTGTGATCCAAACTTGATCAAATGGTTCATATGAGTTCATGATGTTGATGTGGATCAAATTTCATGAGGTTTGACTGTCAATTGGCCACAGTTGACTTTTTCCCCAATACAACTAATTTCTAGGTCAACTGTCCAATTGACTGGGCAAAAATTTGAATTAAGGCTTGAAACTTGGTATGGACAAACTTGTGAGTCCAATATGAAGTATGAAAGTCACTTTGGACATTGTAGGTCAAAACATCACTGTGCAAACTCAAACCCTAATTTAGGTCAACAGTGCAAAGAGGTGTCTTGAGCAGAGCAAACCCTAGCTTGATCTTGAGTTCCAAGAATCTTGTGATGAAAAATGTTGATGAAATGAGAGGGCAAATTTTGGGGTACAAAAAATTACAATTTAGATGATAAAATATCACACCTAACAATGATATTGAAAATCAAAGTAGGATAACAAACATACGCGATGGTGAAACATCGACACAAAGATAGCAAAATATCGTGGCAAGGACAGAAAAACATTACAATTTAGATGATAAAACATTACACCTAACAATGTTATTGAAAATCAAAGTAAGATAACGAATATAACAATATATAATTTATAAAAGTGAAAATTTACTTAAAATAATAGAAAATATTATTATACTTGTAATATCTATACGCCAGTCCTTGACAACGATGTCATTATGATGAAAACACTTTCTAAGGGTAAGTATTGTTTGTATCATATCCACAGGGATTAGTGTGATATCACCGTCGTTCAACAATTAATATAATTTTAAGGAAATGATCACAAGATATTTAATTATGGAAAGTAACGAGATGTAACAACGGTAAATGCTAAAAAAATAACAAATAGAGAAACTTGTCAGGATTAGAAATAGGGATAACTCAGATGTTGTAGCTGATATCTTTTGGACACATCTTGATTATGTGAATTATTGAATATGTTTCATATGGTGTTAATTTTTGATTGCACATACAAGACAAATAGGTAAGAATCATTTACTGTGCATCCTAATATTTGTTGTAGATGTTGAGTTATGAGTTTGAGTGTGTTCATTTTGATCGTGCAGGTACCAGATACCACTGCTTGAGATTATTGGTGTTACGTCAACGAAAATGACGTTTTTCAGTTGCCTTTGCCTATTTAGAATATGAAACGGATGATAACTTCACATGGGCACTGGAGAGGCTCAAAGATTTGTTCATTGATGAGAAATTGCTATCGAAGGTTGTGGTGATGGATCAAGAACTTGGACTGATGAATGTCATGTAATCTGTGTTCCCAAATGCAACTCATATGTTGTGTTTGTTCCATATTTCCAAAAACATGAGCATGAAATGTAAAGAGTATGTTAAATCAGAAAGACAAGAACATGTCATGGCTCTAACGAACAACATCATGTATGTGAAGTACAAGCCAAAGAGAGAATTTAAGAGGAGTAAAAGAGTCGAGAGAGTGAAGTACATCGTGATCCTAACCAGTGGGAGTATGCTAAGGGATCACATAGGAGTCAGACTACAAAGAGATCACGCACAAAACCAACTGCAAGTCAACCGTCAAGTATGCTGATTTCTTCAAGAGATGTTTACTTGTCACAGTTTCCTACTTTCATACATCCATACATCGATGATATTATTGATGTTGGTGATGATGCAAATTGTGGTTTTTGTTCTATTGTAGTTTTACTTGGACGGGACGAAGAGCCATGGCCTTTTATACGAATGTAGTTAGATACTCAAGTTCATCAACACTCTCAATTATTTCCCAAGTTGTTCTATTATACTGTCTCTACAGGAAGGAATGGGTTACGAGTATACCCCATAGGTGTGCAGAGTCGTGATAAATGGATGATATTTCCTGATATGGATTACCTTATTACTTCTAGATACAATGTCGTATTTGTTTATCTTTTTATGAGACTCAACATAACATTTTTCCTCTTGCCTTAACTCCACCTATGTATACGAGCAGACATAAAATCATTGTTGCTGGTTTTGTTAACAACAATCATTTGATTCAGGTAAAGTTGAAACCCGATTGTCTATTGTCTTCCGTCATTGACCGTTGAAGACATAATTGTACTGATGATGTAAAAGCATCTGAATCAACACATGTGAGTCACTTTAGTCAATGGGAAGATAAAGTTATAGAAAGTCATCATGTTTGTTTTGTATTCTTGTATGTATGAAAATTATTATATGTATATATTTAGTCAGGTAACATTTTTACCGATTCAGTTATTCAAGAAAAATCAAAGGAAAAAGTGGGGGAAAAAACTTATTGATACTATACCGAAAATTTCAATATTTCTAAAAAAAAATTATTAATTACCAGAAATTTCCAAAATTTCAATAATTTCTATTTTTTAATCAAAAATTTGAAATGACCGGTACTAGAATTTTTGAAATTTCCAATAATCTATCATCTAACACAATAAAAATTGAAAGTTTTGGAAAATTTCCGATAAACTATTGAAATTTTTGTACAGCCTCCTATTTTTTTCAAAATTTCCTCTCTTTAAAATGAGTAATAACGTAAAAGCACTATAAAATAAGATGTCAAATCAACTCTGAAGGTGGTAAATTAAAAAGTCGAATAAAAAACAGTCTTGAAAAAGGGAATCCGATGTTGGATTGAATGGTGGATGTGTTTTTAAGATTAAATTTCATGGGTCCGGCGGTGCTGGGAGTGGAGTGCTGATTGTGTGGACAGTGTTGGAAGGCCTTTATCATGTCTAGAGTTTACAACTTATGCATTTAGAAGGGGCTGTACCAATTATTTGTATCTAACTCTCTGACTTCCTATCTTTAATTGCTATTCTTCATGTTATATTTTCAAAACCAATGCAAATTTTCTTCTCTATTATTATGGTTATAAAATGTATTAGTATTATTATAATGATAAAATCTAGTCCTCTATAATAAAGTGAGTATATAATATTTTTTAAAAATATTATATTTTAAAAATATATGAGATTTCACATCGGTTATTAACATAATCGATGTGAAAAGTGATTATGTAATCCTCATTCCCTTAGTTAACAATCTTACGGAGGAAAAAAAGAAAGATTTTATTTCGGTTCACTATCTGATTTGAAAAGTGAGGGATTTCCCCTCGATTAACTTTTCAGTCGAAAAAAAAAAGTGATATATTTTTCATATTTTTACTTTGATTAATGGCTTGAGTGTAACACACTTTTTATAACACCTTACATTAACTTAACATCAGAATCAAGATAAAAATACTCTTCCAATCCTATCTAAATAAAATGTCTTGTTCGTAGTGATACATTTTAATAAAAAAGGTTGAACTAAAAAAAATACACTCTTTTTTTATTCAAAATACAAACCATAAATTTTTTATTATTGATGAAATGATTTGAAATTCTTCTTTTCAAATAAAAAAAATTCCATAGTTCCACTTGCTCCCCATAGTCAATTACCACATAGTCCTTCAAGAAAGAAAGTGCTGAAGAGATCCATTACATGTTTATTGAGAACAAGACCAATTTCAACTCCACCATTGCCATCTTTGCTATCTCCAAAACCAATTGATAAATCTCTATCTATGGACACAATCTCCACCTTTTCTAGCCTTCCATAACCAAAATCATTCTTATAAACACAAAATCTATTAGACCCAGACCCAGCAACCCCAAAAATTTCATATCTTTCATTATTTAAAGTTTTAAATCTATCAAATATATCAAAAATCATTTCTTCAAAAATTCCCTTTTCATTTATCATCTTTATTTTCTCATAAATACACTTGGCAACTAGGAAGACACCATCTTCGTTTTTGAAATCAAATGGTTTTGTATCAATGAAATCCCCCAATAAACAATTACCGAAATAATTACTTGGTATTGCTGATTCCAACCTTGCTCTGCAATCTATTACAAAAACCAAAGCAAACTTTTCTTTCTCTTTTTCAACTCCATGAATAGCTTTTGCAATACAAACAAGTGAATAAGCACAAGTGAGAATAAAAGATGATAGAGTCTCTGGCTTTGATTCATTTGGATTGAATATTTCCCATTTAGATAATACATATTGCTTTATTTTATCCAAATCTGCACGTGTGAGCTTGAAGGTAGCACGAAGAGAGTCTTCGAGTTTTGGTTCCGAAGGTGAAATCTTTAGGCTTCTTTTATTTCCTTTTTCAGTTGGGGATATCTTCGATAAGATCTCGATTGCGTTATTTTCATTTGTGCCTTTGATGATATCTCTGTTGAATAAAGGCTCTAACTCTGGCAACAAAGTTGGTGTTTCAAATCCGATTATTTTGTTGCATAGACAAGCCCAAGCTTTGACGAACATAGATAAAGATTTTCCATCAAAAACAGCATGGTGTGTAGTGATTCCTATGCTGAAGCCACAGTTTGGGAAAAGTGTGATTTGGAGGGACATAGTAGAAGCAAACGAATCTGATGATTCCAAGTTGGGAATAAAAGAACGAGTCAATGAAGCTTCATGGGGTGAGTTTCCAATGACATGATTGAAATCAGCATCAGACTCAACTATGAGCAATGAAACTCCATTATCATCATCATTGGGATTGAATTGGATGAATGGTTTTAAAGAATCAGAAGGCCAAACAATTTTACCAGCTAAAGGGAGAAAGTGTTGGAGGGTTAAAGAGAGTGAAGATTTGAGATTTGGAATAATTTCTTGAAAGAAGAAAGAGGGGTGGGAGTGTTGATCATGGAGGGTGTAAAAGTATATTCGCTCTGATGGATGGAAACCTAGCCATATTATGTCAAAAAAAGTGAGAGGAGTTGTTGTTGTTGATTGGATTGATGATAATGGAGGAACTACTTTGAAGTGTTCGTGGATTTTAATGTTGTTTTTGTTGGAAGCCATAGAAAGCTCGGAAGAAGTATTATTGATTTCTTTGCATTTGATGTGTGGGTGGATTTTAATGATGTTTTTCTTAGAGAATTTAAAAGAAAATATTTGAACTGTTTCTATGGTTGCCCTTTAACTTTTAAGTGATAATAATTGTGTGACTTACACTGACTTTTTGTTTGTTGAAAGTTTATACCGACATCTTAATATATTATAAATTATAAATATATAAAAACTAAAGGATTTGGAAAAATCAAGTAACCCTTTTGAGTTTATGTTAAAACTTTTCTGATTTCAAGATTAAAAATGATTGTTTGAAGCCTTGCTGCAACCACATTCATTTAATATTTAATATTGTTTATGTGTCATGCTAGTAGATTTTTGAAATAATTTTGAATTTATTTTATATTAGATTTATATTTGTTAAATGAAAAGTCTGAAATTGAGAAGCTACATTATTTGGTTGGAGAGAGAATGTCACAATTTTTTTGTCCTATTTTTTTCAAATAAATACTTAATTGTGACAAATTTGTTTATTTGTTTATTAGATAGATATTAGTTTTGTGTTTTAAATCTATCTATTACAAATGAGCTCTGCTACGCAGTGCGAAATACATTTTCATTTGAGATAATTAATAACACAACATTGTTTTCTCATTTTAAATTTGTATTGTATTTTGTATTATGTATTGTTAAATGTTGTTTCCTTTTTTCTATTTGCTTAATTATTTTTCGAAATATTTTCTTTTGTTAAAATTTCGAAAAATTTTATTTTTTGGAAAAAATAAAAAAATATATTTAAGAAATTTTCTTTTACTTTTTTTCGGAAAACAAATTTTCCAGAATTGTTTTTTAGTTTTGGCTAAAAAAATATTTTTTAATTTGTTCTATATTTATTATGGAAGATCAAATATTATAATTTTGATTGGTCATGAATCAATTATGTATATTTTAATATTGAGAGAATGTACATTACTGGTATATCTAATAAAAATATGAAACATATAGGAAACGTCTTATAGGCATGATCAAAGTATTTTTTTTAAACACAAAATTAATATTCAGATATTAGTTTAATGATTTAAATTTTTGTTATTAAAATAAAAATTGATAAATATCTTCACACAAATATTTAAAAAGTCAAATTATTCTTTAAAATTGTAATAAATTTTATTGTATAGACTATTCTTAAATATATATTAATAAATTTATACTTATCTAAATGTGAGTTTAAAAGTTTTTATTTTTACGATATATTTAATCAATTCTATTTATTTATCATCATTAAAAATACTTATTAACGGGTAAATATTAAGTTACAAATATTTTTATGAATGGGAATACGTGAAACAATCGGCCGAACAAATCATCTGATATAAAATCAATGAAGTCGTCATCAAACGTTTTTTATCCCGCCGAAAGAGTAAGGTAAACATCGAGTAAACCATAGAAGGATGAAATCACGGTCTTTTGACTGAGAGATTGGGTAAGGAAGTCAGTTACGCGAGGGGAAGGTATTAGCACCCCAAACACTTGTAGTGCTCTACGGTATCCACTCTTGTTATTCTAATCAAAGAGTGTGTTTCAAATCTAAGCTTAAGAGCTAAAAGAAAATGCAAAGGTGGAATGCATGCAAAAGAAACGAGAATATAATATAGGGAAAATAAAGTTGTGCTCGTTCGGACCCTACCCCAATACCTACGTATCTCTTTTAAGGAATCAGAGCTGCCATAGTTCGGCTCACATGTTTCAGTTTGTTGTGTATTTTTTACCTTGAAAGACAAAAGCAATAATCAAGATGACAAAACATCAGATACGATGACAAAACATCAACAATAATGGCAATACAACGACAATGATGGCAAAATATCAACAATAATGGTGGAACATCAACAATGATGACAAATCATTAACAACAAAGGCAAAGCATCAATAATGATGGCAAAACATCAACAATGGTGGGAAAACATCACAATTTAGATTATAAAACATCACACCTAACAATGATATTGATGATCAAAGTAGGATAACAAACATACGCGATGGCGAAACATCGACACAAAGATATCAAAATATCATGGCAAAGATGGAAAAATATTACAATTTAGATGATAAAACATCACACCTAACAATGATATTGAAAATTAAAGTAGGATAACAAACATACACGATGGTGAAACATTGACACAAAGATAGAAAAATATCATGGCAAGGATATCAAAACATTACAATTTAGATGACAAAACATCACACCTAACAATGATATTGAAAATCAAAGTAGGATAACAAACTTACGCGATGGTGAAACATCGACACAAAGATAGCAAAATATTATGGCAAGGATGGAAAAATATTACAATTTAGATGATAAAATATTACACCTAACAATGTTATTGAAAATTAAAGTAGGATAACGAATATAACAATATATAATTTATAAAAGTGAAAAATTACTTAAAATAATAAAAAATATTATTATGCTTGTAATATCTATACGCCAGTCCTTGACAACGATGCCATTATGATGAAATCACTTTCTAAGGGTAAGTATTGTTTGTATCATATCCACAGAGATTAGTGTGATATCACTGTCGTTCAACAATTAATATGATTTTAAAGAAATGATCACAAGATATTTGATTATGGAAAGTAACGAGATGTAACAACGGTAAATGCTAAGAAAATAACAAGTAGAGAAACTTGTCAGGATTAACAATAGGAACAATTCAGATGTTGTAGCTGATATCTTTTGGACACATCCTGATTATGTGAATTATTGAATATGTTTCATATGTTGTTGATTTTTGATTTCACATACAAGACAAATAGGTAAGAATTATTTACTGTGCATCCTAATATTTGTTGTAGATGTTGAGTTATGAGTTTGAGTGTGTGCATTTTGATCGTGCAGGTACCAGATACCACTGCTTGAGATTATTGGTGTTACGTCAACGAAAATGACGTTTTTCAGTTGCCTTTGCCTATTTAGAATATGAAACTGATGATAACTTCACATGGGCACTGGAGAAGCTCAAAGAGTTGTTCTCTGATGAGAAATTGCTATCGAAGGTTGTGGTGACGGATCGAGAACTTGCACTGATGAATGCCATGGAATCTGTGTTCCCAAATGCAACTCATATGTTGTGTTTGTTCCATATTTCCAAAAATATGAGCATGAAATGTAAAGAGTATGTTAAATCAGAAAGACAAGAACATGTCATGGCTCTAACGAACAACGTCATGTATTCAAAGTACAAGGCAGTCTTGTTCTTTTAGACTCAATTCATGTATTTTGAAACAAATTGCACATTGCAGAGCATGAGGTCAGTCATGAGGAGAGTGGTACGAAGTGATGCAAAAGCATGAGAATCAACACATGTAAGTCATTTTAGTCGATGGAAAGATGAAGTTATAGGAAGTCATCCTATTTATTTTGTATTCTTGTATGTATCACAATTATTATATGTATATATTTAGTCAGATAGCATTTTTATTGATTCAGTTATTCGAAAAAAAAAAATAGAAAAAAAACTTATTGATACTATACCGAAAATTTCAATATTTATAAAAAAATTTGTTAATTACCAAAAATTTCTAAAATTTCAACAATTTCTATCTTTTAAACGAAAATTTGAAATGTTTGGTACTAGAATTTTTGAAATTTCCAATACTCTATCATCTGCCACAATAAAAATTAAAAGTTTTGGAAACTTTTCGATAATGTATTGAAATTTTTGTATAACCTCCAATTTTTTTCAAAATTTCCTCTCTTTAAAAAGAGTAATAACGTAAAAGCGCTATAAAATAGGATGTGAAATCAACTCGGAAGGTGGTAAATTAAAAAGTCGAATAAAAAACAGTCTTGAAAAAGGGAATCCGATGTTGGATTGTATGGTCGATGTGTTTTTAGGTCCATTTCCATTTTTCGTTGTTGATAGCAAAGAGAGGGGTATATTTTCAATTTTACGGGCCCACTGAGTATTTAGCCCAATGGACGTTGTTACTGTTTTATTTGTAAAGATAAAAAAATTGCCATAATTAATTCCTTTTTATAATTACTGTTTATCATTAAATGATTTTTGAAACATGTTATTAGAATTTTTTTTATAAAGAGTCTTTTGAGAAAAAAGATTTGTGGATCAAATATTGATGTTAGCCTGGCTCAGTTTGTATTGGAAAAAAGTGCATGCTGGATAAGATAAATAAAAAAAACAACGCAAGGTCCATGTTGAAAAACAACTACTGTATCAACCGTATCTAAATTAACGCACATTTTGTTGCATAAACATTCACTGTAGAAATTAACATTTAAATCTCCAAAATCAGATTCATAGCCCAGAAACATTACAGTAGAATAAAATAAAAAACTGAATCAAATCTATTAACACCCAAATCAAATCTCCAGAATTCAATTTATATTACAAGAACAAAAAGACAAATCGAATATCAATCTAAAACAATCAAATTTACAGTAAAACAAAATCAATTACAATCAATTTACAAATCAAATCAATCCCTAATCATCTCTAATTGCCTAAATCTAAGCTAATTTCTAACAACAATTCTAACTCAAAATCCTATATCAAAAAATAGTATAAATACAAAGGGGAAATCGTGAAGAGGGGGGGGGGGTACTGAAACCGCGAAGAAGAGCTACGAAAGTACAGAAACAGGGGAGGCCGAAATACAGAGGCGGAAGAAGAAAAACTTGCGTTGAGAAGAACATGAACCAATTATTGAAGAAGACGTAAAAGGGGACGTGTTGTACCCCAAAATTTGCCCTCCCATATTCTTCAAGAAATTGCCAAGCCAAGTCACAAAATTCCCCAAAGGTTGCACAGTGCAAAGGTCTCCTATACAGCCAAAATTAGGGTTTGTGTTCTGATCAAGAAAAGGAAGTTTTCAAAGGCCCAATCAAGTCTCACATGCCTACAAAGATGGTCAAGCATCCTCATATCAAGTTTCAAGGCATTCAGCTCAAAATTGCACAGTCAAAACCCTAGATTGCACTACAG